CCCGAACCCAGAGTGGGAGCTGGTTCCACAGGAGAGGAGCCTGATAGCTAAATGTTCTACCTCCTGCTCTACTCTTACAGACTCTTGGAACCTAAACCGAAAGCATTTTGGGACAAGGTCTTTGAGGCACTTGGAAAAGTATTTCAGAAACATTTTAATAAAGATCCCAAGATGGTAATGCTTGGACTAATACCAAATGACATAATTGGAAGAGGGAAAAAGACCTTTTACAAATATTACTGACTGCAGCTCTTAAATGTATTACAGTTAAATGGTTAAAAGCCGACCCTCCAACATATAATATGTGGATTGAAAAGGTATTGGAAATCTATCATATGGAACAAATAACTTCTTCCTTGAGGCTTCAAAAAGATATATCTGTTAACAGATGGAGACCTGCCATGAACTGTACTAATGCAGTAAAAGTTATGTTATTTTTATTTTATATTATTTATTTTCACTTACACTACTTATTATGGAATTACTTATAGCTCTGTGTGTGTTACTCTTGTTTAATTATGTAACTTACACCTTTAACCTGATGCATATTCTTTACTGCTGTATGAAGCAGATCATAAATGAAAAGCAGCAGACTAAAAAAAAGAGACAAAGACAGTTGATTAAATAAACTTTATGTAAACGTCAGAAGTTAAAGTTGTGAAGGACGAGACTTCATGATAGAAAAGTTCAGTTCACCCACCAGAGCTTTAAAAGACAAAGCTTCAGAATCTTCGGAGTCACAGTTTCTGAAGTTACTTAAAAATTTTTACTTTTGGCACAAAAACATTCAAAATCGTCACAAGAAACTAAAGCGTTAAAATCCAGAGTCATGAAGTGAAACTGGAGCGATCACGCGTCGGAGCGTTTCCACGAGGTCAGAGACGAAGCTGGATCCACCTGAACAGGAAGCAGCGTGTGATTGGACAGTCAGAGCGGTCACATGGAGCAGGAGTGAAGCCTGACAGCGGTCAGGCTTCACGGAGGTCAGAGGTCAGAGGATCGTGACCAGCGTCAGATCTTCAACATTCAGAATCCTTTCAAAATAAAAGCCTTCAGTGTCTCTTCAGGGACTCGATGTAGTGGAACGTCGCTCCGAGAGCCCAACTGGTCTCCACCTGGTCGATGGTCCTGGCCAGCTGCAACACAGGTGTGACATCATCAGTGACATCATCGTCTCAGTGAAAACCCTCTTTAAAGGAACAGACTATCAGCGAAGGTTCTGATTGGCTCCAAGAGTCGTCACCTTGAAGTGTTTGTGTGGAGGAAAGCCGAGCTCCTGCAGCAGGACGGAGATGTAGACGAGGTCCAGACAGAGGAACGGACTCTGCTGAGGGACGGACTCCCCGCTGCACACTGACACAAACATTTATCAGAGGTTAAAGGTCATGTGACTCTAATTCACAAAACTATCATGTGAAGGTGTCAGATCAAATAAATGGTGTGAAATAGGTTAGAGCAGCTCAAGATGTGTTTGATTAAAGGTCATTGATCATTACAGATCAGATCATTTATTAAATTCAATTCGTTGTGAATAACGGACGTCTCCGAGCAGATCATTCGTTTTCTGTAGCTTTGACTTTTCAGCTGCTGTTCAGACGATCCGCCACCAGGTCGTGCTGTCTCACCTGTTTTTGCTGCATCCGTGTAGTCGGACACTTTGATGGTTCCGCCCTTCTTCTCCTCTGACACACACACACACACACACACACACACACACACACACACACACACACACACACACTTAGCGAAGGTGGGCAACACAGAGCAGGCTGTCGTCATGACAACATTATGCTGAGCTGCTGGTTACTGACGACTCTGCCACAGGGGGCGCTAACGCACACTATGGTTGATTAGTTTGTTCTCTTACCGATGACTCCGAGGTCGACGGCTCGGTCGTAGTAGTAGGAGAAGGCGTAGAAATCCACGTCAGCAACTTCAGACGGCTTCGTCACCTTCCTGTACAGAACCTTCTCCACTTTGGTGAGACACGCCTCGTAAACCGGTTCCCCTGAAACACAATCACACTACAAGGTTCCTACATGACGGGTCACCACCCAGCCAACCAATCACATCGCAGAGTGCACTTTACCTGCCTTCTGTCCCTTCACAGTGTAGACGACGTCAGCATGCTCCCAACTGCCAGAGTACTCTGAAGCAAGGCAGGGGCTGACCAGCTCAGTGTTGCCCCCTACTGCGTACACACACACACACAAACACAAATGAATTATGCATATTAAAACTTCACCATCAGGGGCGTAACGACGGGGGGGGGGGGGGGGTCTGAGAACAGCTGATTACTTCCTAGACGAAGCCCAGAAGTGTAAATGTGAGTGAGTGTGTGTGTGAACGTCACATCATTTTTCAACATCTACTTTGATAACCAGGGAACGATCCAGAGAGTTTAGCTCTTTAGAGTCGTCTTTTTTTATTCCATCAGTCTGAGATCAACATGTTTTGATCTGTGATGGTCTCCACCACCTCCTGACGGAAACATCTGGATCCTCGTTCACCAGCTGCAGGTTTGTTATCAGAACTCTGATCCAACAGTTTAGAAATCTGTTTTCATGAAGGTTGATAGTTTTGTTGTATTTTCTACATCATCTTCATCCAGGTTGAGTTCAGGTGGAGCAGCATCACGAGACGCTTCATGTGGACACTGAGCTTCTCACTGAACTGAATGTTGTTGTTTTGTGGTGCACAGCCAGAAACACACATCGTCAGCTGAGTGGATCTGAGCTGCAGCTTCTTACAGGAGCCAAATCACAGCAACAGCTGGCAGGCAAGGAATTAATCTTGTGTTATTAAAAGATTAGATAATGGCTTATTTATCTGACGGGGGGCGGGGAGAGGCCTCTAAAAGGCAGATATGAAAGCAAATTGAAAAACAAGAAGAAAAAAAAGAAGAGTAAAAATGTGGATTGTTTACGTACGGGGCGAACCGTCGACGCCCCCTAAGACGGCGAGTCGAGCTGACATCAGACCCAGACCCAGGTAACTGCAGAGACAGGAGGGGTATCAAACATCATCTCACAGTGAACTTCATACATCTGATGACGTAACTGTGTGTGTGTGTGTGTGTGTGTGTGTGTGTGTGTGTGTGTGTGTGTGTGTGTGTGTGAGTGTGAGTGTGTGTGTGCGCGCACCTGTGAGTGTAGACGGTGTGTGTGTTGTTGAACATCTGGAAGGATCTGATGTCGTCGATAGGTGAGGTCTGGATGGTTTTCTGCTCAGAGAGAAACAACATCATCACACAGTGACATCATCGCATCGTCAAATGACATCATCACAGTCATCACCTCGTCCTGAGGACTGAAGGTGATCTGAGTCGAACCCCCGCCCAAGTCCAACATCCCCACTGTGGGCGAGTCAGCTCCATGGAGACCACCTGAACGGGAGAGAGAGAATAATCCAATAACAGGTGATTGCACACACACTCACTCACACACACACA